GGTGGCCGGGCGGAGTGCGACTTCGCGGGCGGGCTCCGGCCCGGGGTCTGCCGTGCTGGTGCGGCGCGGAGAAAGCCTGCCGGGCTCCGGGCTGCTGGTGCTGGAGGCCCGGCCGACGCTGCAGGGCTTGCTGGGCGCCGGCACCCGCCTGGCCGTGACTGAACTGCGGAGCGGCAGCGGGGAGAAGAAGGAGCCTCCGCCGCCCCCTCCGCCGCTGGTGTCCGGCTGGGCGCGCCTCGGCGAGCGGTGGGTGAGGGCGAAGCGGAGGCCCCCCGCGCCGTGGGACGCCGGCGAAGGCGCGCGGGCTGCGACTCTCTGGGTGAGCCGCGGCTGCCTGCACAGCTTGGGCCTCTTCCACGGCGAGTGGGTGTCGGTGAGCAGGGAGATCGAAGAGGAGCAAGACGGCTCCCCAGAGGATCTGGGGCCTCACTTGGCCACCGTGAGGACTCTAGAGCCCCAGTGGGGCTTCCCTCTTCGGGACACCGGCCCCTGCCGAGCCGCCTCCGAGGAGACCTTTCTGCACCAGAAAGCGCTCGTCCCCCCTGCCTTGGCCTTCAATTTGTCCTGCGACCCTTTGGAAGGGAGCCTCCTCAAGATCCAGGTGGGTGAGAGTCCACAGGAGGAAAGAGGGTGCTGCAGGTGCACGGCAGACATGGCTAAGCAACAGTTGCAGTCGGATGGGCGTTTAAGGGAATGAGGCTGTCAGGGTCATGGAGAACAGCTGCTGAATAACACAGGTCAGGTGTCACCTGCAGCTGTTGAACCAGGCCCACGTGTGGGAAGAGAGGTGCTCGGGCAGCTGCAAGTTAGGATAAGTGATGCCTCTAAAAACCAGGCTGTTTCAACGTTTGGCTCCTCAGAGTCTTCCGGTGTTTTGGGGTGTTACAAGGCAAGAATAGCTGAACTGATTGATTGACACCCATCCCCCCAATTCCCATGCATATTAAGCATGGACAATAAAGATGGGGGGGTGAGGGTGGAACCTGAGTCTGTCCCAAGTTAAGTGGGCAGATCATGTTGCAAGATATGATGGTGGGCTCTCATTTCCTGGTTGATGAGTAGAGGAAGCGTTGTGGAATGAAATAACAAAAAGAGAAAGGGCGTAGACTTTCCAATTTCCCAGGGGGGGGGGCTGGGGCTGGGCCAGAAGCATTGCTAAGTCATTAAAAGAACTGGGACCCTAGAGTGGAATGATGGCCCCTGGGAGTAGCAGAGGTGTTCTGGGACTGGAATGACAAACACTCTCGGTTTTGATAGAATAACACCCCTCCCCTCCTCCACCTGGCTGTTGTGCATCCTACATGAAGCAGGGTGATTCAGCAGATGCAAGCCAATGCCAGTGGTCTGCATTCACCAACTCACACAGAAGAACCAGAACTTGCTGTTTCAGCAGTGGAGCTAGGGGTGCCAGCATCCAGGTGGGATTTGGGAATCCCCTAGAATTACAGGGAGCCAGTTTGGTGTAGTGGTTAAGTGCGCGGACTCTAATCTGGGAGAGCCGGGTTTGATCCCCACTCCTCCACTTGCACCTGGCTGGATGACCTTGGGCAAGCCATAGTTCTGGCACAGCTGTTCTTGAAAAAGAGCAGTTTCTGTCAGAGCTCTCTCAGCCCCACCTACCTCACAGGGTGTCTGTTGTGGGGAGGGGAAGGGAAAGGAGTTTGTAAGCCACTCTGAGATTCCTTTGGGTAGTGAAGGGCGGGGTATAAATCCA